TTTTAATAAAATAATTTTATTTAAAAAAAGTTTTATAGCAACAGTGGAAATTTATTAAAGAACAAGTACAGACTCCCACATAGTGAGGGGGAAGAGTCCCACTGACTTCCTGTTTCCATAGTTTATAAAGGCTGTAGTTCCTGTGTCCTAATATCCCCTCTGATTGGTCAATATTCCCTTTCAAATTGGTTGCTATAGTGACTCCTGAGGCCCCCCTTTTTCATTGTCCTCCTATTCCTTCTGGGCTTTCTTCCTTCTTTATTTTGTAAATATAGACCTTTTTTGGCTACTTCCAATTTCCTTGTCTTATGGAAATATACCTGTTGCTGTTTCCTTGTCTTATGGAATTTTATTTAATAACTTTTCTGCCCTCACTATTTTTTGATCAGGTTGAATACATTTTGAACAGTCGTCTATAGGAATAATCTCACACATATTTTTCCCTAAGAGCCCTAGTTGATTGATAAAATTTTGAGCCTTACACTTGAGATTTTACATTAACCTTAGCCTGTTCCAAAGATTTTTCTATTGAAGAATTTAAAGCAAATCAGTATTTAAAAAGTGCTTTGTGTGTTATGTGTGATTCTAGAATCACTAAAATTCAGCTTGTGGAATACCAGAGAGGTCATTTTATCTAAGTTCAACAAGATCTTATATTTTGTATTTGATTTTCAATACTTTCTATTATATTTTTAGTTAATCCTGAAGTCTTCAGTATTTTTAAAATATGTTTTTATTGACTTTAGAGAGAAAGGAAGAGGGAGAGAAAGAGGAACATCAATGATGAGAATCATTGATTGGCTGCCTCCTGCACACTCTCTCCTGGGGATTAAGTCCACAACCCAGGCATATGCCTTGACTGGGAATCAAACCCTGACCTCCTGGTTCATAGGTCAATGCTCAATGACTGAGCCACGCCGGCTGGGCAGTTTTCAGTATTTTTAAGTATGGATATTTAATGCTTTTATTTAATTCACATTAAAGAAACTGTTACAAATGTAAAATTTATATTAGTGGAAAAACAACTAGAAAGTATATGAAAATTTAATTGCACATGTTCTTTATTTGCCAAGTATAGTAATATACAAGTTTGAATAGTTTTATGTAAACTTTTGTATTTAGGAAAAGGGTCAGAAAAAAAGTTATAGACAACTGAAGACTACTTTTGTTAATGTTACTTCTGAACGTTCATTGTAAGTAATTTTTCATAAATTTTATAAATTGTTTTATATTTGAAGAAAACAAGTATTATATAATGGAGTTAATATTTCTCTTCATTTTTACAGGAATGATGTTTACAATTTTAAATTGAATGGAGCTGATGAGCCTATTATAAAACTTGGGGTAAGCTAGAAGTCTGTAGTTATTTTGTATTTATTCAGTATTTATTTTGTAACTATGATGCAGTTATTAGCGTGTATATTTTATTTCCATCCTCATATAGTTGTTGTCCCAATTATGCCCCAATAATTGATTATCTGTCTAGACTTAGTGGGACAAACGCAGATGACCAGGAGTCAGCAATAACGGCCTATCCTCTGGTACTTCAATGTCTAGACAGCTGAGCCGAACTGGAACACATGAACACACAAGACAGAATTAGTATGCAGTCACACAAGGTTTATTTACCTATTCTTAGTAGTCCTAGGCTCCAGCAAAGGCCACCCGGTGATGCACACCGAAAGATGGACGAGGAAGATGGAGACAGACAGGTGGCCACAGTTGGTTCAGGCTCACACAGCAGAGCAGTCAATCAGGGGCTTGTCTCACAGTGACGTGGAGTCCTCCTTTCATCAGGCAGGAGATGTTCACTGGAGAAAAATCTGTTGCTTGTATAGTCGGTGGTAAACAACTTGTGTCTTATTAGTGTGAGCCAGACGGTGTGCCTTGTGCTAGGAGCAGGGTGTTTCTGCTTTAAGGGCTTTAGGGCATTCACATCAAGATAGTGGGGTGTTCACCACATTTGGAAGTTACAGAGTATTGGGGTCTTCATACAGCAAAAATTTCACACATTAATTATTTCACACAATAATTATTTCCACACATTAGAGGGGTTTCCTTATGACCATAACGTTATTATAACATATGTGCTTTAAAATATTTTAAAATATATATTCTATTTATTTTTATTAAATTTATTGGAGTAACATTAGTTAATAACATGAATTTAAGTGTAAAACTTTGTAAGAAGACATATATATACTCCATTGTGTGCTCACTACCTGAAATTCAGTCTCTTTCCAAACATTTTTAAATATTTTAAAATTTGTTTGGTATCTACCTAGCTATATTTAGTTTCCTTTCAAGTCCTTCGCATTGAAGTAGAGAAAAATGAGTAATTGGGACATGGAGGAACTCGGACTACTTCATCAAGAAAATCACTTTTCTTATAGATACAATAATTTAAAATATTTACAATTGGCTTGAAAATTTAAAACAGTTACTCTTTATTTTATTTTTAGTATATTTTACAGTTCTAGCTTTCTAAACTTAATTTTGTTGTCACATCTTAAGACTATATGAAGTGATAGAAACTAGATTTTGTGTTTATTTCTTTTAGTTTTTGTTTACCTTATTTTGACACTAAGAAAAAAAAATTAATGCTTACTCACAATATAGATCCAGGAATTTCAAGCTACAGCTAGAGAAGCCTGTATGGATAATTCAATAAAATTGTAAGTGTTTTATTATAATTAGTTGAATCAGATTAAAATACACTTGTTTCAATTGTTCTTTTTCTTAAACATTTCCTTCCTGTTTATCTGAGAGTTTTTAATATATGAAATACTGTCATGATTACTCCCATTATTATCCTATTATTTCAGCATTTACAGTTGATCCTTGAACAACATGGGGGTTAGGAGCACCAACCCCCTATGTAGTTAAAAATTTGAGTATAGCTTTTGACTCCCCCAAAACTTAATTACTAATACCCTACTGTTGACCCAGAAGCCTTGCTGATAACATAAACAGTTGGTAACACATACTGTGTATGTTGTATGTGTTATATACAGTATTCTTACAGTAAAGTAAGCTATAGAAAAGAAAATGTAAAGAAAATCATAAGGAAGAGAAAATACATTTGCAGTAGTTATTGAAAATAATCTGTGTATAAAGGAATCTGCACAATTCAAATCCTGTGTTTTTTAACAACTATATTTATAAAGTTAATAATGCAGATTCTGTGCACTTTTTTATATTATTTTTTTATTGATTTCAGAGAAGAAGGGAGAGGGGGAGGGAGAGAGAGATAGAAACATCAATGATGAGAGAGAATCATTGATCACACCCCTACTGGGGATCGAGCCCACAACCCTGGGCATGTGCCCTTGACCGGAATCAAACCCGGGACCCTTCAGTCCTCAGGCCAACACTCTATCCACTGAACCAAACCGGCTAGGGCCAGATTCTGTGCACTTTTAATATTAGTTGTACATCTTACATGATAAAACTGAAAGGACTTAGTAGTACTTTCATCTAATCTTGTAATTTTATAATTAAGTGAGGTCAGAGAGGAAACGTCACTTGGCTAGAATTATATAAGTGAATTAGTAAAGAGTACGGCTGAAAATCCAGATCTAACTGTTCAATGCATGCTACCTTAAGAAAAAAGTACTTAAGATTCATTAAAATTAATGTATATTTTTGTTTAAGGGTTGGTTTAAGGAATCATGATGAACTCGAACCTTCTCTCAAAACCAAAGATAAAAGAGTAAGTTATAATATCCTCATATTAAAACCAGTATTTCTTTTAATAATTTTCCATTACCAAAGACTGTCACAGAACTGGAAAACATAAACAATTAGATCTTTTTTTCCTCAGAGCTTATCCATGTTCCCAATTTGACTTTTCTTAATGGTCTCTGAGCTACTGTGATCATTGAGTAATAGATGTGACAATTTTAGTTCCTTTCTTTGCTGGTAATAGGTTGTGTCTCTATGGAAGCAAGCTGATGTGATTTAGCTTTTAATTAACAACAACACAGAAAACAAAATACAAATCTCTGTTCTGGATTTTCTCATGACTTCTTGGATAGGTCCTTAATGCCAGGTAGATTAGTTTGCTAAAAACATGAGAAGTTAGTTTTTCTGTTTGTTGTTTTGTTTGTGGATTTTTTTTTTTTGGCTTAACTTACTTTGGATGCCATATAAGACACATTTCTTCATCTATTACAAGTATTCTTTTTTTTAAATAGGTAACAAGTCATAAAAATAAAAACCTCTTTAGTGATACTGACACAGAATACAGCTGTGATGACGGCAAGACTGACATTAGCTGGCTAAGAGAATCAAAATCGAAACCACAGCTAATAGGATATAGCAGAAATAAAAGTGTGAAGAAGAAAGAGAAAAGTGCGAAATCAAGTAAGAAATCACTTTATAGAGAAATGTTGCAAATAATTTTACTATTTCAGCTATATAAAATGCTCTGTTGGTAGCTAAGTATATTTTTATATGTGGATAGTATTTTTTATTACACACCCTTATGAATAGAAAAAAGAGTGAAAGCAAATACACAAACACTACAGTGGTTTTGCTTTTTGTTTTATTACTTTTGTAACATGGTTATATTTAAATTGCTTTTTTAAAATGGGAACTTTAGGGACATAAAATATGATTTATCATGATCTTGGGTTCATGACATACTGTAACCATGTATCTGTTCTTGGCCTACTGTTATTCAGTTATTGGGTATTTATTGTGAATAATTATATTAAGTACTCATGAACCCAGCACCCTAAATAAAATCAAAGCTTGGACAACATCCCCATTCCCTGCCATACCCAACACACATAAGTTTTAGGAATTGATATAGATGCAGCAAATATATATTGAAAGGAAAACAATTTTTTTGTAGAAATATTTTTCCCAAATTTTCACAGAATGTTTTGCTAGCATATATATGGCTTCTGCTTTCTCTAGTAAATCTCCTGAAGTAGTTGGATAAGAGTTTGAGGTATGTGTTTTGGGCTAGACATAATGACCATTTTCATTGTTTAACATCAATTTTAATGTTTACTAAAACGCAAAGACTTGATATATTCCGTTTTTAATAGAAGACAACATAACTCAGCTGTTAAATTTATATTTATTTTAAGGGAATCAGCTTTTTTAATTTAAATCATTTTTTTTCAATTACATTTGACATACAATATTATATTAGTTTCACATGTATATCCTAGTGATTGACGTTATATAACTTATTAAGTGATCATCCTGATAAATTTAGTACCCACCTGACACCATACATAGTTATTAGAATATTATTGACTATATTCCCTATGCTATATTTTACAACCCCATCACTATTCTGTAACAACCAATTTGTACCTCTGAATCCCTTCATTTTTTTACCCATTCCAACTCCCTTCCCATCTGGCAACCATCAAAATGTTCTCTGTATCTACAGTCTGTTTGTGTTCTGCTTCTTTATTTTGTTTTTAGATTCATTTGTTGATATATATGCATTTGTTGCCATATTATTGTTCATATTTTTTTATTTACTCTTCTACTTCTTTAAAAATACCCTTTAACATTTCACGTAATATTGGTTTGGGGTAAATTCCTTTAGCTTTTCCTTGTCTGGGAAACTCTACATATGTCCTTCAATTCTAAATGATAGCTTTGCTGGATAGAATAGCCTTAGTGGTAAGTCCTTGCTCTTCATCACTTTGAATATTTCTTGCCAATCCCTTCTTGCCTGCAAAGGTTTTGTTGAGAAATCAGCTGACAGTCTTATGGGAGCTTCTTTGTAGGAAACTAACTGCTTTTCTCTTGCTGCTCTTAAGATTTTTTGTCTTTAAACTTTTGCATTTTAATTATGATGTGTCTTGGTGTGGGCCTCTTTGGATACATCTTATTTGGTACACTATGAGCTTCCTGTACTTGTATGAATATTTCCTTCACCAGGTAAGGGAAGTTTTCTGTCATTTTTTCAAATAGATTTTCAACTTCTTGCTCACTCTCTTCTCCTTCCAGCACTACCATGATGCAAATGTTGGTACCCTTGAAGTTGTCCCAGAGGCTCCTACATCTTTTTATATTCTTTTTTCTGGGAGTCAGCTTTTATTTTATTTCAGGATAAAAATAACCAGTAGCAACCTGTGAGGTGGGAGAAGAGGTAATGGCTTAAAAAGAAATAAAAATAGAGATATGGAAATGAACTTTGTCATGTATTTAGATATGAGGCTGATTTTTGAAAACAGATGAGAGGCCAGTCATATGCACAAGGAAGAGAAGCAGCAGGATTATCATAAAAAAGAGACAGAAGTATGAAGTAGCTTAGTGTGCTTAGAGGATGCAGTATTGCAGTAATTAGAATGTAGATCAAATTTGTGGGAAAATGTTCAAAGATGTGGCTAGATCTAGTCATAGTTAGTGGACTTTGAAGCATTGGAGAAACATAAGATTCACATGTTCTCAGGGAACTTACAGTCTAGTGGGAAGATGTATAAATAAAGACAAAGTGGAAGATTAGAGATCTTGGGAGACATGAAAGGTTAGAATATTGTAGTCAGTAATTACTTTTAAAGTTGAACTTCTGAGTGAATTGTTTTGTGCCCTTGACTGGAATTAAACCAGGGACCTTTTAGTCCGCAGGCCAATGCTCTATCCATGAGCCAAACCATCTAGGGCAACATTAACACTCTTGATGGTCTCTTTATGTTTTAAAATTGTGTTAATCATTGATTTCACCAGCAACAAAAGCATTCTCTCCTTTGTTGCCCAATAGATGCTTTTTGTCAGGGGTTATCAGGTTGAAAACTGAAGTTTGGGTCGACAACTGAGACATTTTTTCTGTGAAAAATTAGGTGGAGAATCACACTGTTCTAGATGGGAGACGTTTGAGAAATGAGGTCTGACTGACTGTAGATTGTCAGTATGTTGAATCTAATTATATGTATTCTTTTATGCGATCCTCCACATTCCCTCTGCTGAAGGACTGAATGATAAGTCAATATGTCTGAGCTGTCTTATTGCCAAGACTGGGAATCTTCCTTCCAGAACTTCATTGCTTGCTTTGCTTGGATAATCCCACTTCTTAGACTTCAGAGAATATTCAGGAAATTGAAATTGTGCTTGAAAGGAAAAAGGGAATAAGGTCTAAAGCTACTCTCAAGAATGTGAATAAATCTCAGAAACCGAATGAGTGAAAAATAAAGCAAGTCATAGATTATTACATAAAACATGACTATTTTATAAAGTTGATTGTATTGATTAGGGATACATATTTGTGAATTAAAACCTTTTTTGAGACAAATGAATGAGAAACACAGATTTCAGGATAGTGATTACCCTTTAGCAGAGGGAATGTAGAGAATCACATAAAAAATACATATAAGTAGATTCAACATATTGACAATCTACAGTCAAACAGTCAAACCTCATTTCTTGAGCATCTCCCATCTCAAACAGTGTGGTTCTCCACCAAGTTGTTCACAGAAATAATGTCTCTGTTGTCGACAAAACTTCAGTTTTCAACCTGATAACCCTTTCATGCTGATACTTCAGCATGACAAAAAGCATCTCTCAGGCAACAAAGGAGGGAATGTTTTTGTTGCTGGTGAATACAATGATTAACACAATTTTAAAACATAAAGAGACCATCAGAAGTGTTAATGTTGCTCTAGTTGGTTTGGCTTAGTGGGTAGAGCCTTGGCCTGCAGACTAAAGGGTCCCTGGTTTGATTCCAGTCAAGTGCACATGCCCGGGTTGTGGGCTTGATCCCCAGTAGGAGGTGTGCAGAAGACAGCCAATTCACGGTTCTCTCATCATTGAAGTTTTTATCGCTCCCTCTCCCGTCCTCTCTGAAATCAATAAAAAATAAAAAAAAAAAGAATAAAGACCACAGATCAGCAATTAAAAAAAAAGAGTATTAATGTTGATAAGGATGTGAAAGTGCTCATAAAACAACAATCCTGGGCAATTGAATAGGTAGAAAAACTGTTGTTGATTGGATAAAGGAAAAGCAGTTACCCTGTGATAGCATTTCAGAGGCAGTGATATATTTAAAATTCATGTAAGGCTAGTAGAGGGTGGTTCGATAAATTTAAGAAGTGTTTATAGATGACACAGTGCATTACACATTGTATTATGTATAAGAAATCTACACTAATAAAAGACAAACATGCAAATTGACCGTCCCTTCGCTATGCCTTAAGCCACGCCCACCAGCCAATCAGAGCGATTATA